CTGGCTTGGCCCCCTTTCCCCTCAGTGTCTTCCTTACCGGCTAAGCTTTCCATGTCCGTGTGATAACACCTTTTTCTTTTTCTTTTTTTCTTTCCAGTTTCCAGTTTTTGGTTTGGAAAAGAAAGAAAGAAAAAAAAAAGCGGAACCCATCCAAGAGAAAAGTGGCAACTTGTTTCTCGCAAAATTCTTCAATCATTCATACAAAAATCCTGACTATGAATGGAAGATCAAAAAATGGATGTATACAGGTGTTGTTGTTTTTTGCTAAGGGCTACTGGTTAGGTTCCCAACTGGAGGCCTCTTAGTCTACCCGCAACTCGGGTGCGTCGAGGGAGAACCTAGCGTGTATGGCCCGTGGGTACCAACCAAGATGTCAGAGAGGAGCCAGGGGAGGGCTTGAGCCTGACCAAGGTGGGCGCTAGGAATGGCGTGCCCGAGGAACCTCAACCGAGCGATGGAATCCAGGCTCAAAGGGGTATAGAGGGGGAGATGTAGGGAGGGAACTAAGGCAGAAAAGGGCGTAGCGCAGGTCGGGGGAAGAAGAAGCGATGGGACTCGGGAAGACCAGGCAGGCACTCGGTCCTTGGTGCGCCAATAGGAGAAAAGGGGTGGGGTCAGCGGTGGGGACTGGAGAAGCTGTGGATAGACCGGACTGGTTTGAGTTTAGCGTCAAAGTCTGCTGCAAAGGTTTAAAGCCGAGGCGGTTGAAGCCGGTGATAGCTTCTTTTCCTGAAAAGGAGGTTCAGTGTTGCACTTTGATTACAGTATGGTACGGAGTATACTGAGTGTCTAAATATATGGAATGGGAATATATATGTAGCGGAATATACAACATATCCAAAATGCATAAACAGGATAACTATCTCCTACGTACTATTGACGTTCACTTCAAACCTATCAAGTCATGGCAACATCTCGTCGCGTAACCGTCACGATACCTACAGACGCGGGAGTGGAGACAGTGAAATAACAACAACAACCCCCGGTGATCGGAGCCCTATCTCCATCTCCTGACATCTGGACGTGTCTGGAAAAAAAAATTAAGATCAAATAATACTCCGTAGAATGATTCGATTTTAGAACAAAGTCCCGTTCCTACAGTCTCGATCTCAATCCATACCATGAGTGATTTATGATGTTTCTACCAGATAACCGTTGCTACCATAGATAATTATAGTACAAAGCACATACCACACCAATCTCACCAAGGAAGAAAAGAGGAGAAAGGGGGCCCATCAATTTCCTAGCGGGATTTCCGTGGAACGAGCCCATTATCACCGCCAATTGGTCACGAAACTCACCAAATTGCGAGCGGAGTCCTCGGCGGCTCTCCGGTACGATCAGTGTATATAGTGGAGGATAGTATACGGCAGTTCTTATGTATTTGAATTCCCTGAATTCCCTGAATTAGCTATTTTGGCTATATTGTATGTTGTGCTCCCTATTTACGGAGTACTCCGTACTCCGTTATTAATAATATTTACTTTCAGCCTCCCAATCAGAGAAAGTGGGGGAAAATCACTCAGTTACCGGTAAAACCCCACCCTGGATAAAAGCGAGTCTGATAGGAAGAATACGGGAAAAAAACATGCACAAGATGCAAGGCTCTCAGCTCGGAAAACCAACACACACTCTCTCAGTGATGATTGGCGCATTGGGGGGGCGCATCTCACCCCGCAGGCGCGGAACCTGTTCCTACACTGCCGGTGAGGAAAAGGGAAGTGGATGGGGGTTGAAGATATTTAATAGTTTGGTATTTTTGGATTTAGGCATTTAGTCATTTCTAGTTAGTTGATTCTTCAGCTACCTAACTGTTACAAAAGTACCTTGTTATCAGGAAATAATAGTCTAATAGTCGATAATGCACAACTCAACACCGACAATCTCCAAACACACCAGTGGCCAGTGGGACCAGCGGACTCCGCGCGGACAACACACAGTGTCTAGTGCGGGATATCCGGTGTCGAGCGCAGAACGGGATGATCAATATCAAATTCATACGGCGCGTCAATCATTGGACGCCGCAGCCGCTCGGTATCACAGCGCCGTATGCATACGGAGGTCAACCAATCAATAATACCTTGGCCTGTACGGAGTCACTTCGGACGATCATCCCAGGCCCCAATTTCCCAAAGCTGCTGGCGATTTGTCTATTTCTTATCCTATTTTTTATTTTTCTCATTTCTCTCCTTATATATACATCCTCCGTACTGTAATATAAAGCGCCTTTCGCGGCTGTGCTCAAAAGGGAAGAGTACCGGCCAAATTAAATGTCTCAACCCCAAAAGTTGGACCTGCAGACGCTCATCCGTGTCACTTGATGCACGTGGGCCCATTTCTGCATGTTGCTGGGATATTGCATATTGCATATCGACTTGCCCTGTATAAAACTTTGTACGAATATCATCATATCCACTTCGCATATTTGCACTAAATGAGGTTAAACACGCTGGCTAATGGACGGGTCAGAAAGGAGGGCGGAAAAAGTACCCAGATGGGGTCTGGAGCTTACCGTTCAATATATGGGTATTCTTTTCCCAGCGCTAATCGTTCAGGGGCGATCAGTAGTAAAGGCTTGACTTTGTATTCTGTTCTATGTTGATCGCGATCTCCAGCCGGGATCACTTTTGAACTAGCCCTAAGCCCAAGCCCAAACAATAAGAAACCGAAGGAAGAACAAAATTGCCCTAAGTTGATGGCATACAGTAGTCTAAAGTCAATCCAGAAATTGAAGTCTGTGCTCGGCAGATACAAATATAAACGTAAATATCACACTCGAACTAAAATTAAATTCAAACCCGCAATTTCCCTAAACTCCACCCGTCGCTGGCCAGTGCTGATAAGTTGCGAGACTACGCCGGACACAGTAAGTCTCATCCGCTAATACTTCGGCAGATCGCGTTTGAGAGACCTGTGCGGATCACCACACCCCGGATGATGATCATTGAGCGGCGATTGTGTCTTGGTCTTTCTCGCGAATTTGATTTGATTTGATTTTTCAAGGTCGAGATCGAAATGCAGGATGAAACCTCGGGCAAAGATATTGGCGTTGACCTTGATATTGAAATCTTGAAATGGCAGGAGACTGGCATGAGTCCACCAATGAACGGGATTGATTGTTGCAGGGATTAGATGCCGAGACAGGGATTTAAGGAAGTTCAGCGAGAATGGTATTTACTAGAAAGTGACTCATTGTCACTATGCCTATGAAGACACGAAATATATTGCCAGAATATATGCCTAAATTAATCTAGATATCGTTATCATTTCAATACTGCAAATCAAAGTTATGTGCTCAGTAACAGCCCTAAGACCAACCATGCGAGCAGTGTATGTATATGTTGTATTTTCCATGCATGTTCTACGTTTGCTCTAAACAACACGAAAACTTAAACACAAGTACAATATACTCTTCTCCGTACTTTCTTTTTAATCTTTCCTTTTTCCTGAGTGGCGCACCGCACTATCGCCTGATACAGCAGCCGTCGTCTTACTAGCGCAACCCAGTACATACCCCCTGGTAAAAAATTCCAGGGTTCGCTTTCGATCTGGACCGGCGACATGAGTCGTACCCACCCTTGTTCTCCGACGATGCGCGTCGGATGAAACCCCTTTAGGGCGATTGGGCGATTGCTATGCCGCCTTGAAGACGGAGGCGCTTATGCACACTGCGGGAATTGAGTTCCTCGTTCTACTCCGTACCGGTACTTTCTTTGACGCTAGTCTGCTGCCCGCACTACTGCACGTCGCTCTCTTAGGCGTTTCTTAGATCTTGTACTGTGTTTTCAGGTGTATTTTTGTGTATTCTTGTCTTGAGGGTCACTTCAATGAAGTACGGAGTAGATGTTGGATGCATACATGTACGGTATGGGCTTATCGAACCATATACTCTCTACAGAGTACAGAGGACAAAGTACACGCATTGATATCCTATGCAGTTCTGTTTTTGGTGGTCAAATTCCCCGAGTAGTACTCCTCCAGACTGTAGATAGCAAATCGGTACTTGTGTCAGCTAATCACACTGCTATCCTGATATCGTTGTGCACGTGGCTCGGTATTTCTATTTATCACATACTCAATATCCTTGAAAGACCTATAGCTAGCACAGCCATATCTTGGAATAAATCCATGTATAGTTCATTTCTTTTCAAATCTACGGAGACAAGCGCAAGAATGTATACAACCATGTACAAAACCCCCCTCCATAGAAAGAATGGCTTATCTCTATGTAGCTTTACATCTTGTATTTCAGAGCTTGTCATGTGGTGAAACGCTAAAAGAAACCCACAGCATAACCTCCCCGTCGGCCGTTTAAGCATAAAGTTTGAATGTCGAGCTATGCACGAGCGAAAATCTCGGCCGGTTTTGAAATTGACCCCTAGTATCATAGTATATGCAAGTAAGGCGTTCTAGTTGGTAAGATTGAGTGAGATTGATGACAGATTCAGCACACTTGTGTCAAATGAGGTAAGGTCTACTTCGTATAAGGCTGAAGTATAGTCTGACGCCCCACCAAGTACCTATACGTACTTGCTTATTCTGTCAGCTTCACTTCATTTCCATTTCCTTGAGGCTCTTCTGTCCGACAAGTGCTAATGAAGCATTCGGTTTTCCATGGAGGGCATCTGAGAGTCTGATATGTGGTTGATATATCTTTCCAAGGGTTTTCTTACTACATGTGTTACAATATGCCTAATGTGTAAGAATATATTTGGTATCTGTGAGTACAAAAAGCTCAGGATTCTATTCCCCTTTCTTCCCTCCACAATTGATGGTGAAGTATCAATGTAAAAAGTGCGGAGTAAATTAACTGATGGAAAAATATATTCCGCAGAATTACCCCGGATATTGATCCTTTGCGGGGTTAGACGAACTACTACTAGTAGATCGTCTACTCAGAGATCTATATATTCTACTACCTAGAAGAAGCATGCCATGATATCCTACGCAATTCTACCTTCCTTTATGCTAGACCTACCAATCCAATTGAGTAGCAAAAAATGATTATCCTGACGATATGCGTCCTAGCCATCGCCTTTGGCACTATTTTCGCCAGAGCAAGTCCTCTGTCAAGACCCGCCAAACTCAACTGGTCATCGACTAAGGCTCTGTGAGTATATCTAGCCTAAATCTTGCAAGCAGCACTGACCCCAGACCAAAGAATCGCCTTTGGTGACTCCTACACCTATGTCCAGGGAACCATCGGACACCAAAATTTCAGTTTCATTGGCGACCAATTCAACCTCGCATATGATGCCGAAGCCCTGCTTTCCAACAAGATAGTCCAAAATCAAGTAAGCTTATATCTTGACACGATTGAATCAAACACAGCACCACTCGGATATTAACGTCCCACGTCTAGACCGCAACCGCAGAAGGCGGTCCGAACTGGGTCGAATATCTCACAAACTGCGGCATCCACCAAGGCCTCACCTCTCCACAAGACTGCAAAAAGCAACTCTGGGATTTCGCCTTTGCAGGCGCCGATATATCAACCGAGTAGTAAGTACAAGCACAAGTACAATCAACACACATTTTCGAGCAAACTCAACTAAAAACCAAGCACACCACCACACCACAACTTCACAGTCTCCCTCCTAGACCAGATAAACCAATTCAAGCAATATGGCCACCCAGCCCTCCTAAACAGTCTACCAAGCTTCACCCAAGACAAAACCCTAGTCGCCATCTGGATCGGCATCAACGACATAAACGACAGCGCCAAGTACGTCGTGAACTTCCCAACCTTCTACAAAAGCCTCATAGACACACTCTTCACATCAGTGGAAATCCTCTATAACCTGGGCTACAGAAACTATCTCTTCATGAACCTGCCGCCGCTAGACCGCACGCCAGGGAACCAAGCAACGAAGGATCCGAGTCCGAATTCAGGTCGGGTGGTATAATGCCGCGTTGGCTGATCATGCGGCTGGATTTGCGGCGAAGCATAAAGAGGCGCGGGTTATGATTTTTGATGCGCATGCGAGGCTGGCGGCTATGCTTGATGAGCCCTACAAGTATGGCATTGTTAATACGACGGGCTTCTGTGCTGGGTATGATCAGCCGGATATTGCGGTTGCATATGAGAAGTATGGGTGTCCGACATCGTTAGAGCGGTATTTCTGGTTTGATTCGGGCCATATGACTAGCCATGTCCATGAGGTTTTGGCTGGGGAGGTGGAAAGATGGTTGCAAGGATAATGAATGGAGATAGGCAATAGCTACATGCAAGCACGTTCTCAGGCTGTCTACCAATAACTTTGACAAGATCGAGAAATACTTGGTGGAATGTTTGAAGAATAATAATAATCATTATTGCAGATTGAAGTCAGAGACTTCAGCAAACGCTGTCATGAAACTTTTTAACTAATCGACATGTATGGACTCATCGAGAGAACTGATGAATCAAGATCCGAGACTGTGAAAACCCCGGAGGATAGAGACGGAACAAAAACTAAGTAAAACTTATCTATGACATCGAAAATAACGCCGTCCTGCCCGAGTTACGCATGAAGTCAAAGGAATGGGAAAGAGTCTACCGGGATCGCACAATACAAGGCAAAGTGGCTGACTGCACGGGGAGCAGCAGCGAAGCATCTACCAACGACGGTTGCCGCCGACGGGAGCAGAGTTGGAGGCAGTGAAACCACCACCACCACCACCGCCGCCGCGACCACCACCCCAGCCACCACGGCCACCACCACGTCCACGGCCACCCCAGCGACCACCACCGCCGCCGCCGCCGAAGCGAACCATCTCGGCAAGACGGGGGTCAACCTGCTGCTTAGCTTCAGTGAGGATAGTGATCAAGTCACGAGCCTGCTTAGAGTCTAGAGAAGGGGATGTCAGTACAACTTGCGAATGTCCAAAACACGGACGAAAACTTACTGTCAGTGGTGAAGAAGGTAATGGCGGTACCCTTGGCACCGGCACGAGCAGTACGACCAATACGGTGGACATAGTCCTCCGAGTTGTTGGGGTAATCATAGTTGAGCACATGAGTGATGTCGCGCACGTCTTTTCAGAGGAAATTCGTTAGCAAATAGAACATTAGTGGAAATATGAGGAGTACGGCCATGAAGGACCCTTTCTCCGTCGTGCAGGACTTGATGCATCACTGCTCTCTTGATGGGTTTCTTTGAAGAAAATCCCAAGGGAAGCGAATCCATGGGATGGCGGTGTTATCATATCCTAGAGAAACCTTGGAAATGCAGCCTTCAACAGTTCAACAGTTCAAGAACAACGCTGTGTGAGAGAAACTTCGACTCTTCTACGAGCCTGTCACACAAGAGATGGAGAATAGAGAATCAAAGCCAAGCTAGAATGCTTGCTGCTGTGCTGCACTGTGAGTCCAAGGTACTCTTGGCATGAGAACCATTTAGGAGAACCATTTAGGATGACCAAATACGCCTGGACGCGGCGTATAGACGCCGACGTGCTTCGAGAGAGTTGAGCACCGTGCCATTGTATTACACAACGTCAACACGGGTGAGTGTTTTCAAGGGCCCCTTAAGGGGGGACAAGAAGGGGGGAGGGGAAGAGGGGGGAGGGGTGTAGTTTGTTCATACCAATACCACGCGAGGCCACGTCGGTGGCCACCATGATGGGGCTTTTGCCTTGCTTGAACTCGTTCAAGACCCAGTCACGCTCGTTCTGCTGCTTGTCACCGTGGATGGCTGGAATGTACGTTAGCACCGTACACATGTGTCAATTGGGAACCCAAAGAAAACTTACAAAGCGCGGGCCAGCCGTCCTGACGGAGGAATCGGGTAATCTCATCTGCGACACGCTTGGTACCTGTGAAAATGATGCACTTATTGGAGCGGTCCTCCATAATCTTCTCAAGATGCTTGATCATCTTGTCACGCTTCTCAAAGTCCGAGACGACCTCGACAATCTGGGTGATGCGGTGGTTGGCGGAGAGATCTGTGGAGCCGACGTTGACTTGAATGTAGTCGTTGAGGAAATCAGAAGCGAGCTGACGGACATCCTTGGGCCAGGTAGCGGACCACATGCAAGTCTGACGATCAGGGCGAATTTGGCCGATGATCTTGCGAATCTGGGGTTCGAAACCCATATCAAGCATACGATCAGCCTCGTCAAGAACGAGGTAAGTGACGCGACGAAGGTTGGTACGGCCAGCCTCGAGCATATCAATCAGGCGACCGGGGGTGGCAATGCAAACCTCAACACCGCGGGAGAGGTCACGAATCTGAGGACCCTTGGGGACACCACCGTAGACACAGGTGTTGCGAATACGGGAGGACTTTCCGAACTTGGTAATCTCAGCCTGAATCTGGACAGCCAACTCACGAGTAGGAGCCAAGACCAAAACAATGGGTCCATCGCCGGGGGCGAGGAGAGGCTGAGCGTTGATGTGAACAATAGCGGGGAGACAGTAACTCAGAGTCTTGCCGGAACCAGTCTCGGCAATACCGACGACATCGCGTCCGGACAGAGCCATGGGCCAGCCCTGGGACTGGATAGCAGTAGGAGCGTCAAAGCCCTGAGCCTTGACCTCAGACAAAACGTACGCGGGGAAACCAGCCTCGTCGAAGGTTTCAACGGGACGGGGCACATTGGTACCCTGAATAGCCATCTCCTTCTCCTTGCGGAAGGCGATAATGTCTTCCTCCGAGCGCGCAGTGACATCGGGGTGCTCCTTGTAGAATGACTTCTCAAACTTGGGCATGGTGTTGGGATCTAAGTGGAACCAAAGTTAGTATTGCGTCAACAAACACGCCTGTCATTGGAATCAACTTACCCCAGTCCTGAGTCTTCAGGCCGGCGCCGAGGTTGTTCATGCGGTCACCACCGGCAGCACCGCCGCCGTAACCACCACCACCACCACCACCGTAGCCGCCGCCACCGCTGTAACCACCTCCACGGCCACCGCCGTAACCACCACCGCCGCCGCTGTAACCACCACCACCGGAGCCACCGTTAGAGTAGCCGCTGTCACCTCCGCGAGAGCTAGAATAGCAAAGTTAGGACGAATTCTTCTGCGATATGCGAGGTCTCTTTGGTATTGGTTGGGAGACCACGATAGGAATCCCAGTGCCCAACGTCATAACAAACAACTGCAGGATCAAGGCCTTTGCCAGAAAACCGTGCAGTTGATGAGATAGACAAAGAAGACAAAGAAAAGTCTCGATGAGAATGAACTTACCGGTAGGAGTCACCGCCGCCGCCGCCACCGCGAGAGTAGCCACCTCCGTACGACATGATTAAGTCTGCGAAGGGTTGATTTTAGGGAGAGAGAGTGATTAGAATCCGAGGGGAAGTATGAAGTAGGAAGAGAAGAGAAAGAGAGACGAGTTCACAAGAAAAGGTAGGAAAAGGTTGGGAACTTGAATGAAAAGGAAGGAGAAAAAATAAAAAAAAAACTGCCAGGGGAGGAAGGCGCGAGGAAAAATTAGATTAGGCTTAGCGCCCTTTGTGTTTTCCTTGGTATCATCACATGACCAGGTCTGGAGCAGGTGCCTCCCAGACCGCCTGCCTAAAAAGGGCTTAGTCATGACTCGCCGCTTTCGTCGCGTCTGTCTATCTTGCTTCTTATTGGTTGCTGTTATCGACTTCAGGCAGAAAATTTAGAAATTATAAGATTCACCATGGATACCAAGGGGGCAAATAAGTCTTGAGTGGCGATAATGTTTGACGGCAAAGTGAGGATTTTCGAAAACAAATAGACTGAGAGTCTATAGATAACTATTTGATAATGCATAGCAGCATGAAATATCACTAGAGAAAACATATCATATGAGCGAAAAAAAGAACTATGGGTAACCGAAGTGAGACGAATAGCGTCTTGCCCTATCGTCTTGAATCGGAGCGCGATTATCTTGCCTGGGAATAGAAGTCCGCACGTCAGTCACCTCCGGATTCTGACCTTCGAGCCCTTGCAATCTACTTCAAACAGTTCATAGCCTGAAAATGCTCTCAGCTGAATCTAGCTGGACGCCCAATTTTTATTTCCATAGTTCCAAGGTTTCACTAATATCTCCATCAATGGCAAGAAACGTGAGAATGTATTGTTTATGACAGATGAAATGGAATAGACAATGGAATATCCGGACTTAGATGGAGTGATCGCAGCAACTCGTAAATTGAACGAGGTGTAGATAGCAGCCTGAGATCTTAAATCCTATTGCTCCTCACCTCCGAGGCCCATATCCCAGAAACGAATCTCCAATTCCGTAGCTCGAACAAAGATCTTAATCAATTCTTCCATGCGACTGGGTGACACACGCTGCATGTGATCCTCTAGCAATGCTATGACATGAAATGAGTCAGTGAGATGTTCCACTCGTTCTTCACGATCTGACTTACCTGAACCTAGTCGCACAGCCTCCGTATAGTCGTCGGCAACATAATTCTCGATCCATTTCCAGTACGTGTTCCCCACTCGAAGAGTTTTCTCCGCCGTATGCAATCGTCTTGCAATGGCGCCGTATCCGATCAAGCATGGTGCGAGAGCCATTTGGAGAGCCAGCCAGTCCTCCGACTGGCCTACATCCAAAATGTATCGGCTGTATGCGGTGCAAGCTATACATATCGAGATTAGTACATCTGTCGAGTTTGTAAAAAGGCACGATCGGCCTACCGATAGTTTCGGGTGTATCTTCCATCTCCTGCTTGGAAAGACCAAATGAGGCACAGTAGTCGATGTGCAATGCCATTTCCCGCTGGATGTGGAGGACAATTTGGGCCGACTGGAGGGATTGTATCAGATTGTCCTTGAAAGCAAGTATGGTGAGCACTTACCGCTGCTATTGAATCTATGCTCTTGGCCTTGTATGATGCAAGTGCATTGCTTCGGGCAAATTGTACCTACAGGTTGAATCATGATAAGTTGAATGCCTTCTTCCAACCGGATTGAAGATGGCTGTCTCACCAGGTAGAGATAATCTTGCACAAGATACGCCTTGAAGCGTGCAATTGGCAGTGTGCCCTGGCCCATGCCCTCGACAAACTCATGGTGGGTGAATTGCCGCCATACTTGCTGCACATCTTGACGATCCAAGATGTATTCAATAAATCGGCCGCTGAATATCATATCGTTAGGACTTAGAGAATCAAAAGATCTAGGGAATGGGTCACATACGGCGCAAAGGGCATAGTGTATGTGGAGTGGAAATGATTGATCGGCCCGCTCCCTTGACCTAGGTCAATGCTCGTCTTGATCCCTATCTCAACGAATCGCACGGCGCTTCGGACCGCTCTGATCATGTCTTTACCGGAAGCCAGGTTTGCAGCAATTGCCGACGCAAGTGAGCAGCCCGTACCGTGGGTATTTTTGGATGCTAAGAACTCAGTCTCAAATAAGGTGGTTGTCGTCCCATCAAAGAGGATATCCACGACTAAAGTTACTTCTTTCGGGTCTTGAGATGTCTTGAGATATTTCGTCAAAGGAAGGTGACCTCCCTTGAGGAGGACCGCCTTGGGGCCCAATGAGCAAACCTTCTTAGCAAGATCAACCATTCCCTCTAGGTCCTTTGGTTCGGAGGTCTCTGCTCCGGCATCTTTCAACAAGAGAAGAGCCTCCGGGATATTTGGTGTCAGAATTGTGGTCAAAGGAAGCAACTTTGTCCGTAATTCCTTGACTGCCTTTTCAGGTAGCAACTGAGAGCCACTAGTGGAAACCATGACCTGTTGATGCCTGTTAGAGTGACAATTTGAGAACAGGACATTGAGCATACCGGATCTAGAACAACTACAGGAACTTTGTGAGCTTGTAGTGTTTCTGCGATGACATCAATGGTCTCAGCAGAGGAGAGCATGCCTAGGGGGTCATAGGTCATCAGTGGCAGTTCTAGATGGAAAACCACGAATCATGAAACGCAAATGACTTACCCAGTTTCACTACATCGGCACCAACATCTTCTAGTCCAGCATTGATTTGCTTTCTCACAAATTCCGAGGGGACGACAAAGATGTCTTGCACACCTAGTGTGTTCTGTGCCGTCAACCCAGTGGTGGCAGTGAGAGCATAGCATCCATGGGCCGCAAGGACCCTTTGATCAGCTTCGAGACCACTGGAACTTGTTAGAGCTTTGTTCTAAATCATGATATAGCGTAAATGATAGGGATACAAGGTCAAGTATCGCTTTGGAGATAAGTTGATGGGGTACCTCATTTTTTTTTTTTCTAACCGGTTTTTGCGAGAGGATATTTAGACTTACGCTCCGCCTGAACTGTCCGATCCTGCAATGACCAAAACCCTTTTGACAGACATGATTGAAAGAGCCGGCCAGAAATTGAGAAGGATATCTATCTGCTCTGCAATGGATCAAGCTGAAGTGAAGAATGACGGAGTGGGGTGGGCATCCATCATGAGAATTGGGGGTGGGGTGCTTAAGTAACGATAAGACAGATAGATCTTGATATGGATGAAATATTAAACGTCCACTCGAGACATTTGTAGACCCTAAAATATGCAATTCGATTTAATCATGACTATGCTAAACTTCCAGACCCCAATATCCTTAGATATTTACAAACACCCAAAATCATACGCCGTCGGGGCATCTATTGTAACATGAAGCGGAAGAGACCATCCATCTCAACCCATTGACGACCACACTTCTTCAGGTAGCTATCTACCACCCCCTTGATCGTACCGAATCTTGTGCGATTGAACTCTGCAAGGGCGGCAACACTGTCCTTCTTTTCTCCTGTCTCTTTCTCGGCAGCGACCTTAGCTTTTTCGACATCCCAGAGACCGGCAAAGTAGAGAAGCTGGTTGTATACCTCTTTCTCCGAGTACTCGTACGACATGCGACCTAGACAGCCTTCTGCACGACCTCGGGGACCCAAGCAGCGGTGTCCATAAACGCTGATTTGCCGTGTGCGATTGCCACATGACGAATCGTCACAGACCAACCAGCCTTCATAGTATCGCGAAGTCTGTTGGCGGATTTGGTTCTCCACTTGGGCGACAATTGTCATAACCGAGAAGGGTTTCTGGCAGCTCTGGTTCGGACAAACGATTCCGTGCGCAGTGCACATGTGCGATGAGGTCACCAGACCCTCATACACAGATTGTTCTTTGCAGTATCGGCATATTAGGGACAGTCGCGTAGAATTGGCAAACCGAACCGAGTCCGGGATCTGGGACTCGAGCGGGGTGACCTCGGCGTTTTGCTGACTGTTGGAACTGGAGGTATTGATCTGATATTTGCGAGTATCAAGACCCAAGCACTCGGCAAGACGAACGGCATCGGTGCCAGGAATTGGGGCGCAGAGACGCTCAATTGGAGGGAATATTTGCTTGAGCATGTAGAACTCAACATCTGGCTTGAGCCCTGAATCGGGCTTCAGCACATCCTGCGGGGTGTATGATCGCTTCGCAGGAGGGAGAGATGAGGTTTCAGAGTCTCCGTTGGTCACAATATACGAGATGACGTCGTTCGGTCTAACTGTCTTGCCCCGGGCAATTTCGCGGAGAGCGACTTGTGCCGGTGGCATGCTCTCTTTATTAGGGTACTCCTGGGGTCGTTTTGAAAGTTTCTGATAGAGCGTTAGCAAGGTGATCCAGAAAATTCTTCAGGTTCATCACATACGGTGTATATCACGTATTTCTGCACCGGGATTTTATATTCCTTCATCCTGTCTGCAAGCTCACGCAAGTACTCGTGAATGTTGTTGAGAACGATTTCCTGATCTTCACCGGACAAGATTTCGTTGAGTAGCTTTGATGATACCTCCTTTGAGAGGGCACAGTATTCACGACGCTTCATGTCAAGACCCTTGACCTCAAGTTTCTCCACGTACTTGCCATCCACCTCGGTAAGGTTGATAGCAGCGTACTTCTTCTTGGCATGTAGTAGAAGCCGACGGAAGATATTGTCGATATCGATTTCTAGAAGTCGGTAACGTTCGTTGACCGATTTCTTGAACTCTTCGCCAACCTTGAGGGCGTCACTCATGTTGTCCATATTCGTATTGATCATGACCGAATCGGTGTCACCATAAATGACTCGCAATTGCTGGCTTTCGGCCAATTCCTTGGTGTTTCTCAGAATTTCACGTCCCTTAAAAGTGGTGAGCATTGCCAAAGGACGAGCGTAAAATCGACTCTGTGTGTATCCCAAGCATCCGTACATGGAATTGGCAGTCAGCTTCAATGCCAATTGTTTTGTGTCCCATATGGCCAGTTGTTCGGGTGTGGCACGCTTGTCTTTCATCAACTTCTTCACTTCGCGTCGACGACTAACCAACGTCGC